GCTTTGATGTCGTTCTCATCGACACTGCGGGTCGACGTCACAGCGATAAGCGTCTGATGGGCGATCTGGAGAAGTTTGCCAAGCGAGCTCGACCCAACAAGATCATCATGGTTGGAGAGGCCCTGGTGGGCACTGACTCGGTCCAGCAGGCGCGAAACTTCAACGACGCCTTTGGCAAGGACCGAAACCTGGACTTCTTCCTCATTTCCAAATGCGATACTGTGGGAGACATGATTGGCTCGATCGTCAACATGACCTACGCGACCAACATTCCCGTTCTGTTTGTGGGAACCGGCCAGCATTACACCGATCTGCGAACCCTGTCTGTGGACTGGGCCGTGAGATTGTTGACTCAGTAATTATAGGGGATGTGGTATATAACTATTAATGGCGTCTTTGATAAGAGGCGGGGTACCTCGAGCAGTAGCATGTGAATGGATATTTGTGGCAGGGACAAGACTTTTCCGCGTTAGTTTGTTCTTTGTGGTCTCGCTAGACCGTATTCTGACTCAACGATGAACTGAGACTGTTTGAGATGAAAGGTTTTCAGGACTCGGGGTTTGATCAGCGCCATGACGTATTTTATTTCAAGCAAGTCCCCACAGCAGTATGATCACCACTGGAGTCTGTAGGGAGAACTAACAGGAATATATCTCTACAGGGAAACGATTTGACAGACCGCAATCTCATCAAATGTCAGAGATCGATCTAAACAAGTCCGAGTCATCCGAAAAACTTGTACCTGAGAGTGCCCCACTCTGCGTTCGTTCCGGACTTCGTAATCCAACAAGGAGCTCGTAAACCGCATCTCGAGAGAAACTCGGTCCGACCCGACCCTCTTGTTGAGTTCCCGAGGCTGCTTGTTCTACTCATCTCCGAACATGTCTCAGAGTTATAAAAGGAAGGTCGAAAGAGCCCGGATTCCGACTCAAAGAGGCGTGTGAACACGGGACCACCGCGGGGAGTTGTAAAAAAGAAAAGGCGGCGTACTCTGGTGACGACGAAAACGTACGATGCCCAAACCATGCTTGTATAGCCAGCTCGCTGGGCTATCTCTATTATCGTGTCGACCCACCTGCATATGCAAGGATACGAGAGACAAGCGAGAGTGGGGAAAAGATGACGTCTGTTCCAGAGGCGGAAGACAAAGATTGTGCGACTCTTTTGTCATCTTTTAATGGTGCTTGAAACGAGCATCTGGCGATAATAGTGCCAAGTGCAGCACCATGTCGGTTGCTATGCAAGCGGCTGTATCTTCCGGCTGATGGAACGCAGAGTGATGCAGTCAGACGGCACTGGGTGCTTGTCCGACCGCGGAACACTCAATATAAATTTTTCCTCGCTTGTGGCAGGTTCGTATTTGGACATTTATCGCTGTTTGTCTGGGAATACCAATAAGGTGAAACCTATGGTGGTGTAACATATACCCTTGAGAGCGGGGTACATATCAGGACTACGAGTCGGACAAGACAAGCAACTCCGGGAAGCTTTACGGAGTTTTACGGGTTTGGGGACTCTGAACATCTTCTCTGAATACCGGTGCTTTCGGCTACTCTTTGGATTTCTTGATCGCCCAACTCAAAACACACCTCCACCAAACCCGTCTTAGTGTGGCAGATGATGTAGGCGCACTGGGGTGCAATTTTAGCCACTTTTCAGTTATCGTTCAAAAAACAGACGAAAGTTAGCGTTTAGTCGGCTGGAATGAGCGCAGCGGAGCAAAAGCCTATAGACAAATGGCTCACTGTTGACAATGACGGTGCCTGGTCAACGACGTGCAAAAAGCGGTTTCCACGAAGATAGCGCAGGGCGTACCCCTCGTGGGGCTCACCGGCGCGAACGTGATTCTTCGAGGCCTCTGAGCCTGCTGTAGCGTGCGCTAGCCTCGATACACGCTCTTGACGGGCATGTGAGGATCGACGTTCGATGCAGCAAGGGTGGAAAATACCAAATAGAGGGCGGGAAGGCTGGCAAGATGACAGGAGATAGTGGCAGTGTCCTTGGTGTGTCGGAGATTTGCTTTGTATCAGAGTATACGGTCGCATTCCTCGGCGAAGAGCAGGACAGTATGGAGCTCGTTCAAAGCCCACCTAGACCTAAGGCGACCACTGTTTCACCACTCAACACTAGGCTAGAAGAGGACCAGCTCAACAGAAGCTGGCCTGCCACCTCGTTCAACAGTATTCGTACGACTCGGGCTGACAAATGGCACACTAGCGCCCTCCCTACATACGATAAGCCCTTGTTTGGGTGTGGCACTGCGTGGACTTGCTTGTTAACAGGGGTCTGACGACCTCCCGCGGACCTCAACCAAAAACAGACGCGGTAGACGTGAAGAGCGCCGGAACGGAAACTGCAGCCTCCCCTGGTCATCTGCCAATCACTCTGCGACAACCCCAACCCCACAGATCGTCTGGGCTACCCCCGCCTAATCTCTGGTGATGGGCGCTCTCAACGTTTGCTTTGGGCAAAAAAAGCGTCGATCCTGTCTCACAGTCCCCGCTTAGTGGCTCATGCAGTAGCGGGGCTCTAAAAGAGTTCAATGAGCGCATAGGTGGAGGCAGGGTATGGTAGCGGCCAGCGGAACAGTGGCGCGGTTGTTTTTGAGCTGGTTGGAATGCCCTTGGCTGGAAGTGCAAAAATCCGGGTCTTTTTTCCAGGACGGGCAATTTTCGAGGAGCAGGCGACCTATCGGAATGAAAACCAACAAAGTTGAAAGTAAAAGTTGGCTTTTGCGGGGTGAAGCCTAAAGACCAGAAATTATTATAGAATCACAAAAGAAACAGAAAAAAAGGCTAACCTTGCGCAGTGAAATTGTATTCCGCTTACGCATAAGACGAAGACCTCTCAAGGAGAAAGAAATGCTCAGCATATATATATCCACGTACCACCTCCCCGACTAGACCATTCTTTCCACAGCTCGTAAGCTAACAACAGCAGCACTCCACACATCCACAAAAATGTCCATGACAATGACCTACAGCCAGTCTGTGTCTGGCGGAACGCCCTACATCGTCAACAAGCAGTACACCGGAGCTATCGGCATCTGCCACGCCACCGGAGGCTCGACCAACACCTACGTCAACAACCTGCTGCACCGATGCAACTACATGCCCGGCAAGGAGACCAACGGCTTCAAGATCCACTACGACAACGATACCTCGCTCTACGTCTTCCACGGCTCTGCCGTCAACCTGGCTTCCTACTGCGAGCACATGGTGGTCCTCTGCGAGGGCGACATGTCTGCCAAGGTGCTTCCTCTGGCCAAGCTCTTTGTCTTCTTCAAGGTCGAGTCCATCACCTGGGTCTGCGAGCCCTCTGATCTCGAGAACGTGCGACGAATCGTCAACGAGCAGCTCGAGGGCAAGACCAAGCTGCAGAGCCACTTCTCCTTCCCCACCGAGTACGTGGGCCCTCTCTTCAAGATTGGCCCCGGCGAGCAGGCAAAGAAGAACCTGCGAAAGCGACTGATGCCGTCGTTTGGCCAGGACCCCCGGTTCGACATCATCTCCGTCAAGCCCGGCAACCTCATCTTCGGCCGAGTCTCGCAGGGCTCCATCAAGGTCGGCGACAAGATCTACATGGGCCGACATGGCCCCCCTGTCTGCTTCCACGTTGAGTCCATCACCGGAGGCAAGCAGACGCTGATTGCCAACGAGTTTGCCGAGATGCAGGTCAACTGCCCCGTGACCCTCAAGGCCGGCGACATGATCGAGCCCTTCAAGGCGCCGCTCCGAGACATTCCCTACATGGAGTGGGGCCACACCAAGCAGCGATTCGACACCATCTACATGCATCGAGGCGCAGCGACCGTGCCTCTGCTGGTCGACCAGATGAACCGCCAGGTGACTTTCCAGAACGACAAGCAGGCGCTGCTCATGTCTGCTCTCGGACGATACACGCTGTCTCTGGACCGAGAGGGTCTCGTTGGAGTCACCCGAATGTCTGCTGGCGCTGGATACAGCGAGCACGACTAGACTGTTTGGCATTGTATTTATTGTATTTATTTGGTAAGGTATTCATTAATGAAACGCGAGCCGTAACGTAGTACTGTACGATCACTTGACCGAGTCACGATACTCCACCGCGCTATACGTGTTTTGATAAACTACCGCTGACGTTACACTAGCGAGCCAACCCAATCCCACTCTGGCTCTAGCGTTCCCTGCTGATCAACGATACACGCGCAGACGATACCCAACCCTTGCTCAGGCTTGTACAGACTATGTCGCCGTGGAGTCGCTCCTCTCTCTGCCTCACACAGCAATACCCCACATGTCTCATAGCCACGCTGAAACAAGTGTACGCCACCGTAATAGACCTCGAGGAAGTATTATTTGGTGAACCCCTTAGCACAGCCTCGATTCGACTTCTGTCACTGCCCACTCAACCCTCGCATTCTTTTCACCCAACTCTGCACGTCGCAGTGGATCCTCAATTGACAGAAAGCCATTGGAAGCGCGGAACACAAGCTCAGATGCAGGGAGGACGATCATAGTTGCTACTCCCCAACGCTTTACGAATCCTATATTTAAATCGAAGGATCGACACCACATTCCAAAAGCCTATTGTTTAACTAAAGCCTAACTAGCGGAGATAACAGCCGTTGGTGAAGAGTTAGAAGCTGCAGATCGACCTACAACTCGTTCAAAATTGATGATCATCGTTTGCCACCCGATCCAAACTGCTAAAACCGACGTCTGGACTGTTCCGGCAATATTCTAAAATGCGGGGTAACACTGGACACAACCTTATTTTAAGGTTTTGTCGTGACGTCATCGCAAATACGAGATTTGAAACGAGTTTTTGAAGACATTCCCGTAGAAAAGATGTTGTTTTTATAATTCCGTTGAATTCCTCGTCGTCTAAATTATACGCTTGGTCTTTTGTTGCTTTTATAAAACCCGTATTTCGCGCGAAAAAATGTCAGATCACGTGATTTTTGGAAAAACCAGACCTCAGGCTTTGTACAAAAAACTTAAGGCGTTTCACACGATCGCGGCAGATTGGCCGAGTGGTTTAAGGCGGCAGACTTAAGATCTGCTGAACGCAAGTTCTCGTGGGTTCGAACCCCACATCTGTCATCATATTTTTGAGTTTGGATGACTTTCTGACATGTTTTACTGGAGGAAGTGGTTTTTGTGGGATTGATTTTGTTTTTATTTTTGCTCTGACCCATGTATTCCCCTTTACTATTTTACCGTGTAGTCATCCCTATTCTATGCTGTTTACCCCGTGGCTGATCTGTGCAGTTCTTACTGTACTTTTTGGCCAGTATTTTCGGCTCGAGTTTTACTACCGGTACCGTACTTGTAGTACAGTATCTACTTGTACTCACTCTACATAGCTAGTATGTATTATGCTGTTAATAGGGCAAGGGAGACCGAGATCTGTCTCTGGAGCGGTCTCGTTCCCTTTCTCTGATGCTGCCTCGTCGTTCTCTTCGCTCGGATCTCTCTCGAGACCGCGAACGGTCTCTGTAGCTCTTTCGCCGCGATCTTTCGGGACTTCTGGACCGCGATCGCGAGTCTTCTCGTCGCGGCGATCCCTGTCTGTCTGTAGGCTCGGGTCTGGTCTCCTCGTTGGTCGAGTACCGTCTTGGGCGTCTTCCTCGTCTGGAGGGCGATCTTTCTCGGGCGCTTCTGGACCGTCGGGCGTCTCGAACGGGCGACCTGTCTCTGTTGCGCTGTCTGTCTCGCGGTCTGTCTCGTCCTCGGTCGTCCAGGTTCTTTGTGTTGTCGAAAGCGTTTCGCATCCGGTCCATTTCCTCCTGCTTGGTCACCGCAGCCTTGTGGAAGTTCTTTCTGAGGGCCTCTCGGTCCGCAGAGACGATGGTCGTGCGCACGTCGAGCTCTCGTGCCATTCTGAGCGTCAGCTGGCGTCGCAGAGTCTCGACTTCCTCCTCGATCTCGTCCTCGCCCTTCTCTCCTTCCTCCTCCAGCTTGTCCTGGAGCTCCAAGCACGCAACCTCGACCTTGCGCTTGCGCTCGTGCTCGAGAAGTTCGACATCAGCAGCTCGTCCAGCGGCGTAGTCTCTGTCGAGCTTGGTTTTCGAGCGCTTGTCCTGCTCATCGGTGAGTTCGTGGTGCGCAAACTCGCCTCGATTTTGGCCGGAAAAAGCACGGTTGGAAATGTTGGTCTGGATGTGGCCGGACGTGGCCGATCCCCGGGGCGTAGACAGCCCGATTCCGTTGTACGACATGGTGTGTGGTGATGCAGAGAGCCTAAGATTTAGTGGTGTTTAGCTTCTCAGCATGCACGATAGCACATGATGTGGGCTGACACTTTGGGGGCAAGGAAAAACGTGGGAGAGGTGTGGTTGTGGAAGGCGATGGAAGGGTGTGTTTACGGGGATTTATTTTATTTTTCGTTGCTCTACTGCCAAGTTGAAGCCTCCACTATATTTACCAAGATTATACCAAGATGCTTTAAGATCGTGTGATACGAGAAGGTAACCCAATAGAGCCGCATCAATATGAGACTTGAGGCAGGCTTACTAATGGTAAACACATTCGGGTTGGATGTCTTGATGTCTACAAAAGTCATCATTATCGTTGTTTATACAGGTTGAGGCTCATTTCTGACTGCCTAGGTAAAATCGTGTATTATCGTTGTTACGTCGAAGCCCATTTCTGAAGGCACCCATCTATCCTGTCAAGAGTACATCCGTCTATTATTCATATCAGTAAAGTGCCTACCACTATTACTTCAATGGTCCATCTACAAGCACAATCATGAATAGTAAATAAAATAATAATTAGTCGTCCCCTATCGTCCCCTATCGTCGTCCATCGTCGTCCATCGTCGTCCATCGTCCCCTATCATCCCCATCGTCTATCCTTCGTCTAAACATCTACATAATCATCCTCCTCGTAGGCGCGCTGGCAAAACTCGTGGGCAAGAGCCTTCTCGGCCGAGAAACGGTGGTGGTGGTCCAACTTCATCGTGTTGCAGAGAAAGTCGATCACGACGGGATCTCTGGCCCACTCCTCGGGACATCCAGCCTGCAGAAGAACCCGCTCAAACGACAGACCCGTGCTTCGCAGCTTGGGGATCTGCAGCTCGAGAAAGGCCCCGTGCAAAAGACCCGTCTGGTGCATCGCCTGGCGGCCAAAGATGCTGCACAGCTCCACCAGCGCGTCCGCGTCGTCGTGCGACATGAAAAACGGCAGCGTCTTGCACAGGAACGACAGCAGAATCACGCCCACAGACCACATGTCGATCTGCGTCGTCTGGCAGGTGCACTTGAACAGCACCTCGGGAGCTCGGAAGCCTCGAGTGCCTGCTCGGTTGCTTCGTCGCCCAGACCGCACGTCGTTCTTCTCGTACGAGCCCTTGGGCTTGAGCTCCCACGCTGAGCCCAGAATGCGCTTCTGGTTCTCCTGCGAGACGCAAACACAGGGGTTTGAGGTCGAGAACGACTGGACCTCGGCAAGCCCAAAGTCGACCAGCACGCCGTAGCGTCTGTGGCGGTCGTAGAGAAAGTTGGTGGGCTTGATGTCGCGGTGGATGATATCCTTGGAGTGCACAAACTTGAGCGCCTGGCACAGCTGGGTGATGTAAATGCGGATGTCGGTCTTGGAGCCCGTCTTGTACAGCGACCGGAAGTCCTGGTGCTCAAAGTACGGCAGCACCGCGAGAATCTGGTCCTCGTGGCGCATCACCTTGAGCAGCGGCGAGATGTTGTCGTAGCCCGAAAGCGCATCGAGAATCTTGATCTCGTTGAGAATCCGCTTGGGCGAGGACGTCACGTAGATGCGCTTGATCGCCACGAGCGGACCTCGGTGGATGTCCGCGTTCGACCGCTCCAGCAGCCGGATCCGCTTCTTGGAGTTCATGGGCGGCGACTTCCAGTGGTTGGATGACTGGCTCTGCTTCTTGCGGGCTGCCAGCGCGCGCTTGAGGTCGTAGTGAATGTCCTCCGCGAGATAGACCGACGAGAAAGTGCCCTCGCCAACCTTGTCCAGCAGCCGGTAGTGGTCTGCGAGACCCTTGCACGACAGCTCAAAGTTCTGCAGCTCGAGCGTCGTCTCGTGGGAGATCTTGCGGCCCTGGGGACGCTTGGGAAGCGGCCGTTTTCGCGCCAGGGCAAGACGAGCCTGGTCTGAGGGGTCCTCGGGAAGAGCCTCGGAATGCGAAAGATCGGGGATGGGCGTCAGCTGTCTGGGAGGCTGGGACGTGGCTCGCACGCTGGAAACCAGAGACTCCGGAGGCTTCATCGTCAGAGCAACCCGAGGCGTGGGCTGCAGGATTTTGGAAGATGCAGAGTTGGAGGCCTCGGGAAAGAGCTTGCCGACGGGCGTCTCGTCGAGAAGAGGCCGCTTGGCCGACTGCAGAGGCAGCTTGGGCTTTTCTCCGGGGATGAGCCGCTTCTCAGGAAGCTCGCCGGGAAGCGACTTGCGTTCTCGGTTGAGCTTGGCTGTGTCCATTGGCAGCGCTGGGAAGGATGCTACTGCTGGTTCAGATGCTGTTTTAGTCTCTTCCTGCACTTCCTCCATCTCATGGTCCTCCTGATCCTCCTCATGGTCCTCATGATCCTCATGATCCCCAATCTCCTCCTCATGTGTCTCCATGCCATCGTCCACTTCCTCCACTTGCTCAACCCGTGTATCCTCCTGAACACCCATATCGACGTCTCCATCGCCGTCAAGGGCAAGAACGATATCTCCATCGCCGTCGAGAAGAACGTTTTCGAGACCGGTGTTCTCGGGCGTCACAGAAGCAGCCACAGTCACCGTCGTGTCTCCCTCGGTCTCCTCGGGCTTGTTCTCCTGAGCAACCGGCGCAGAAGACTCCCGCGAAACTGTAGCCTGAGACGCGGTGTCCTCCGCCTGTGTATGAGCATTTTGAGCTGCTGCAGCCTCGTCTGTGCCTGTTGCAGTGACGGTAGTGTCTCCACTGGTCGCGTTGGCTGCCTCGGCCATGCTGACGTCGTGTGTATGATCGTTGGTTCGATCCATGCTGACGTTGACCATCGACACGTCCTGCTGGGGCGTCTCGGCCTGTGGAGTCTCACAGTGCGATGTGCTGATGTGCGACGACTCGCGTTCCGCCTCTTGAGGTGTTTCGCACTCGTTTGGTCTGGTTTCGTCGTTTGGTCTGGGTGTAGTCTCCTCGTTTGGTATGGGTGTAGACTCGTTCGATGCCTTGGGTGTGTCTTCCTCGGAAGAAGCGTCTTCAGCTTCGTCAACGTCTTCAGACTGAACTGCGTACACTTCAGCAGCCTTCTTGACTGGACTCGTCGACGCGATTTCAATGACGTTGGCTTCTCCATTCTCGCGCACCTCGTCGGCAATGACGGCAAGAACGCCGGCTTCGCTGGCCTCAGCCTGCTGTTCGCTTCCACTGATGGATTCAGACTGTGACTGGGAGTGGTCCTGAGAATGCTGAGACTGGTCCTGAGAATGCTGAGACTGGTCCTGAGAATGCTGAGACTGGTCCTGAGAATGCTGAGACTGGTCCTGAGAATGCTGAGACTGGTCCTCGACTTCGTCTTGTTCCTCAAACTCTTGTTCCTCGAGTTCGTCTTGATCCTCGAGTTCGTCTTGTTCCTGGAGTTCGTCTTGTTCCTCGAGTTCGTCTTGACCTTCGAGTTCACCTTCCTGCTCCTGCTCCTGCTCCTTAACCTCCTGCTCCTCCTGTGCCTTAACCTCCTGCTCCTTAACCTCCTGCTCCAACTCCTGCACGGGAAACTGCAGATCCTGGAAGTTCAGCTCCGGGAAACCCTTGTCCTCGCTGAGATAGCTCGGGCCCACGCTGCCATACTGACTTGGGATCGGATAGCTCCCCAGCAGCGAGTTGCTGACATGGCTGTGGCTGACATGGCTCAGCAGCTGGCGCTCGAAGCCCCGGAAACACTCCTCGACCTCCGGCGTCACCTCCTCGGTCCGCAGCTCGCCCACCTCCATCGAGCCGGGCGCAAAGTTGATGTCCATCTCCAGCAGGTCGCTGAAGGTCGAGTCCTCGGGCTTGTTTTTCACGCCGCCCACGTAGTCCGTGTTGAGCACCTCCTGCTCGCACTCCGAGTCCGGAATCACCGAGTTGTCGTCGATAGCGTAGTCGAGCGAGTCGCGCCCACACGTGT